ACGGATTCTTTAACTTTGCCGAGATTTATGGTCAAGTTTTGTATTTAGCTGCATGACTGAGGGGCTTCGCCAGAACATTGGAAATAGGAGACCAGGGCGCGCGGCCTTTGTCCATTTCTAAATTCGAAACGTCGACAGCAGAAGTCGTAACTTGGGCGGAGGCGTTTCCAGGACCGACGCTACTTGTAGATCTAATTTTCCGAGCCGGTAGCAGGCAGTTCAGATCTCCTAAGCTCACTACCGCTTGCTTTTGTATGTGATTGGGAACACACTATTTTTGTGCCCTCCTTGTAAATAATCCAATTCGAATCTGGAGGGGGCGTCCTTAATTCGAGTTTTTGAAATTGAAGGGGGACGCTTGGCTTGAACGCTATAAATTTCCGCGATCGGGTTCGGACGTACCTGAGTACCATCCGACCACAAATTCTGGAATCATGAAGTTTGTAACCATTTCAGCTTTCGGGAAGCTAAACTCCACATAAGCCGATATTTGGATGTTCCAACAATAAACAATATACGAAATTCGGACATGCTGAAAATGTTTGAATTCACGTCTTCCCAGCGTCTCAGAGATAGTGACCCGCTATACATTAATAAACACCCAGTACGAATGATCACTGCGGGGCACGCGCTAACGTACATGGATGAGGCACTATGCTACAAGCCGGAAGGCCGCGGGTTCGGTTCCCGATGAGGTTACTGGATTTTTCAATTGACCTAATCCTTCCAGCAGTACTATGACCCTGGGGTCGACTCAGCCTCTAACAGGAATGAGTACCTGGAATCTTCCGGGGGGTAAAGGGCGGTCGGAGCGTAAGGCTGACCTCACCTTCATCTGTGAGCCGATTGCCTAGAAAATGTGGGAGCCTCGACGTCTCACAGCCCTATGGGTCTCCACGGCCTCTTACGGGTATAGCTTTACCTTAAACCCATAGCAGCCACAGCAGTTAGCACGAGCCCATTGTACAGGCGCTGCGCTTAGCTGAAATGACAGTGAAACCGGCTAAACGAAAAAGGACAGTTGAACTAGCTCACCGCGCCCGGATATCGCACACACTCCATTGCATCATACTGATCTCATTGCTTGCTGTCTACGGGCTCTTGCAAGATCATAAATGAGTACATTTGGTGGTAAAACATGATGAGAGGAGACAAATTCGAAGATCTAAGTGTAGATTGGAGGATAATATTAAAATGTATTCGAAAAACTGGATTTTTTTCTGGAGAAGAGTAGGGTTTCGTGGTGGGTTTTTGTGAACAAGACAGTAAAACTTCAGATTACGCAGAAGGCTGGGATTCTTCTGAGTAGCTGAGCAACTTGAATTACCTTTCCAAAGTATTAAAGTTACACTTTTAGTGAGAAACATGTTCTAGATATATTTTATATTTTAAAACTTTGTTGCATTATTGACAGCTGCTTTAGTAATAAGGATAGCGCCTCACTGGAGCGGGATGCAGAAATATAATAGCTAGAATAAGAGACCAGATAGACAGCAAGTATTAGGCAACGGTTGTGTAAAGAAGCGACAATATCAGAGCCATCGCTAAGCAATGTACGCGCGAAACAATGGAGGAACTTTGCCAAGCAATGTGGCTCAAGACACGACCCTGTGTGTGATAGTGATTTGTAAAGTGTAGTCACCAGCTGTAAAACTGCCCAATAAACCCATCTATCTTCGCCTATGATCTATCTTCTCTGCAGAGAATTTCTTAAAAGTTACAGCAAATGGTACATATAGTAACCATTGTGCTTTAAAGGGTTGTTATTTGTTGAAGCATGTGGCGGATAGGGCTAAGTTCCTTAGGACGAACCGTATAGTGTAAGCACAAGTATCCTCAGATGTTTTCCTTCCTGTCAAAAACGGAGCTTGTTTCCTATCGTGCAATTCCACAAAACTACCTGTTCTACGGCTGTTCCGTTTGCAGTGGCGCAGTTTACTTGCAAATTAAACCTCCCCCTGCACACCTAATCGCCTTAACATCTTAACCATGTCTCCCCTGGATAATCTTCCTCGTGCTGCTGATACAATAAAACTTTGTTAAGAGCACGGGGACATCTTGCTAGCCACTCGCAACTTTAACTGCTGCACTTAGGCTGGATAAGTTACCGAGTTTAATGTATGCCACTTTTATAAGTTCCATCGTCTTAACTTCTACATTTCAATATAAATTTAAAGTTTGTGTTTGTGTTTACTCGGCCGAAACTATACTGCCAGAGCATCGTTAAGCAAGATATTGTTTCCGAACTGCAAACTGGCATTAAGGAAATGAAGAGAGGGGACGCAACATCGCGAGTGCTGCTGGCAGATTGAGAGAAGCGGTTAGTGAAATTGAGCACTCTTCAAAGTTGGTGTAGCCACGCGTTTCTCAAACATACTCGCGTTACAAGCCCTGCAGAACTGACTGTACTCTGTGACCATACAAGTGCCGGCTTAGAGCTGAAGCCCCCAACTAAGTGCTCAAGCATGTGATAATGTGCTGCTTGGTCAAGGTCATCGCACATCTCATGGGGGCGCTGATAGATTGGCACGGAACATGCCATTTCGGTCACCATGAATCTCACATGAAGTTGCCCGGCATTAAACTAGAGGCTCCCCGCTGAGAAACCAGCGTGTAACCGCCTGACCTGTGGCAATGCCCCCTTTGGTGCAGCGATATGTATTGACGTGATTGTGCATTGTCGATATAGATATAATTGTGGCTTAGCGATATTTCTGGGGGCCTGTCTGCACGCCCTCATACCCCGTTTGTTGCCCAGTCCCAACCTCAAACACAACAGAAGCCCTCCATTGTTGTTGTCAGTAATTTAAGTTCCAGTGTCACTTTTGTTTACCTCTTCCGGCCTGCAATGCCATGTCGTTAGGAAGAAGCCTAACTTTTTGCAGGAACTCAGCACCACCATCTTCGTGGTCTGAGAGTAAACTCAGCTTGCCGGCCGCTTTTGCCTGTTTCTTGCTTGGCGCACTGTTGTGCCCTGAAGATGAAAGTAATGTGCAGCTCCCACATTTCGAGCTGTCTTTCCAAACTACAGGGTGTTGCAACCCAGAACATCGTACTTTCATGATGCAGATATTCGTCTAAAAGACCAGTATGCAGCCTTTTGTAATGTCACGCCTCTCATCTGTAGCTGTGGCTTTTGTAGATAATCCATTCTTGTACAAGCCTTTTGGGGACACAGTGAGTCATATTTTATGCTAATTTGAAATAGTACAACATAAAAATGCATTAATAAAATCTCACGCTTTATGTGCAAAGTTTGAAATAATGCGAATCCTAAAAAATATAATGTAATTGAAATTAATATGATACTAATTAAGAAAATGTCATGTTACACTACAGTGGCTGTAAATGTATGTGCTCTGAGAACGCATCCCCCATACTTTACGTCTGTTCCTATGAGAAAACTTACCTTGAATTACGCAAGGTCGTTGGGAATGCATCCTTCCATGAAGTGTGACTGCACTGTACTCTAAAATCAGAATTTCATTGAATGTGCATGCTATCTTGAAATGTGCTGGAAAGAGAGCTTCAAAGATTGAGCATAGATGCTAGATAGAGGTAACTTCTTTAATCAAAGAAGATATAAGGGTCTTACAAAAAGAATGCTACCATTTTAGATTACTGTAATTATATTAGTTACTGCCTGAAAGTGAAGCACAACAGACCACTGCAGGTCATGGTGCAAGGGCCGAGAAGGCCTACCCCTCATACATTAATTCATACTGCCTGAAAACGATTTAATATATTTGAAAACATAGAACCCTCCCCCCCAAGCTTCATACCTGTTCGTTACAGTCCCTCAAAATGTGCACGTCGTGTCACATGGCACACATCCAGCTGATAGTATCTTTCTTGCCAGACTCGCTGCAACTTATCTGTTGTTACTCCTCCAAAAGCAGCCACAATTTGATTCTGCAGCTCCTGTAAATTCCTGGGCAATGGTGGCACACAGACAATGTCTTTCACATAGCCCCACAAGAAGAAAGAGCAGGGTGTCAGGTTCGGGGACCTGGTTGGCCACCAGGGCAACGGATTGTCATTGGTCTCATGGTATCGGATCCATCGCAGAGGAAGCACGCGATTCAAAACTTTGCGAACCTCCTTATGAAAATAAGGTGGAGCCCCATCTTGCTGGAAGATGCAGCCATCAGAATCTTGATTCAGTTGAGAAACAGCCAGTTTTCCAACATGTCCAAGCACGAGAAGCCAGAGACTGTTGTTTCTACAAAGAAGGATGGCTTGGCCTGTATATCTTTGTGAAGAATACAGCATAGAAGACATTTAGTTTAGGCGAATCACGTTTTTACTCAGTTGTTGCATGTGGCTGTACAGTGCCCCATATTCACACCTTATAGCGATCCGCTATTCCACTTCACAGAAAGGTAGCCTCATCAAAAAAAAAAATGAGTCAACATGAAAAGATGTCATCTTCTTCCATTCTCCTTTGCATTTCTTTGCAAAAGTAGTATCCAGAAGTGTTAGGACCTGCAGTAACTGAAGCTTGTAAGCTTTCATAGCCAATCATTTTCACAGAACTCTTCATAATTTTGTCTGAGCTATGCTTAATTCATGGCTACCATGACTAGGCAACTTACGTGGGCTTCATGCATAAGATTCTCTAATTCGATTCTCATTTTCCTCTGACATTCTGAGCCATCCTGGACTCTTTTCCCTAGCAAATGCACCCTTTCTCCCTTTCTCATGGAACAGTCGATACCACTGAAGAATGTGTCTCTTACATCGCACATCACTTTGAAGTTGCTTGCGAAACTCACGTTACACAATGGTGACCGATTCTGACTTCATTAATCACAGAAGACAAGAACGCCTTTTGTTGTGGAGTTGTCATTTTTGTTTACAGCATTGCCTAGCAGCAGTAAATAAAATCACTTTAGAATGAAGGTGGTGGATGAAATTTGAGGAGTAAGTAGGTTACGTATATCTGCAGGCCAGTGTGGGGAGGCATGGATGACTGACCATTGGTGTGCCCTCTGTTGCAGATTGCTGGACGTGGAGGCATGGCGTGAAGCAGGGATCAAATTTGATGTGATAACATGCCTGAACCTTTTAGACCGATGTGACAGACCACTGTCACTGCTCCGTGACCTTAAAGCTTCACTCAGGCCAGGTGGCAAGGTTGTTGTGGCCCTTGTGCTTCCATTCAACCCCTATGTTGAGATCGGTAAGTTCACTCTCACATTTTATTTGAAAATTTGTTCCCTGCTATTTCAGCTTCAGATTTTACGGATAGGACATGTCTGGAAGGTTCAAGGCACTATGTTCATATTGACGGTGCTCAAATTTCATGTCGTGCTACATGTCTGGTATTTGCCCCTTCATTGTAATGGCTGTGGAATGGAGCATTTGTAAAAGTACCTCTGATTGATCATAATTTGTTATGCTGCGAACATAATCCAAAATAATGGATAGCTAAAGGATTTCAGAACTTTCTCACAAAGAGACTTGTCCATCAGATATTTTAGTGTGCTGAATTGCTGAAAATAAGGGAAAATGTCTTTGAGAAGAATGAAATTTATGTACAGAATTGAACTGAAGAAAATTAACTAGGCACATCCATGGCTTCAATATTAATATACATACTTAATCAGCTGTACCCATGCTTAAGTTCCATGCCATGAAGATGTTAAATGGAGTGGAGTTACAGTTCCACATAGTCTAAACCTTGGCACTGTATTGAGGTGAGTAGTTTGCTACACACTGTGGTGCTTTACTCACTGGGGAAAGAGGCAGGAGGCTGGATGTGCCCAGAACTTAGCTGGACATTGTGGCAAAGGGAGCATTTCCTGTTTCTACCAATAATTTCACCTCAGTTGGTGTATTATCGAAGTGGTTGGCAACATTGTGCATTGTGGAGGCATTCGTGTATGTACTGCTTCTGGGAACATTTAAATTACTAAAATTGTACAAATAGAATTTGTCTAATATGTCCAAGAATGTTTCTGTATGAAGAGTCTTGGTACATCTGCTGTAAGCAATGGATGAAATCTAGTCAAACTTGTAGTACAACCATAAAACAATTGTAGGCCATTGATCAGGACACTGCATTTTGGTTAAAATTTAATGCCTGTCAGCGTTTGCTTTCATGTAAGGGCATAATTATGATATTTACAGGCCGCCTAGACCATCGACCAACAGAATGGCTGCCTATTGAAGGTTCAGGTTTTGAGGAGCAGGCCAGCAGTGCGATCAGCAATGTTTTTGAGGCATCTGGTTTCCGTGTGGAACGCTGGTCCCGGGTTCCCTACCTGTGTGAGGGTGACCTCACCCAGGCTTTCTATTGGCTAGATGATGCTGTGTTTGTGCTGTCTGCCCCAGAAGAAAGCCAGCAAGATGTCAGCTGATAGTTCAAGAACTCTTCAAGTAAGTTTGTTACCTGTGACTTTTATATTTAAATGATGAACTGTTCAGAAAGTTGCATCAGGTGCAGTATGAACAGCATTAAATCTTTTGCTGTGATATTTGTTTGGACACTGTCAGGCTGTTTATTTCTTTCCCTTCTTCAAATATGTAAAAAAATGTAACTTACCAGTTTCCTACCACAGGTCTAAAGGAGAACACCCAGTGATATTATGAAATTTACCCCATAGTTCTGCTATTATGTATGATAATCACGGTTATTAAAGCAGTGTGCAAGCATTGCAGTAGCGTTTCTTGATGCAATTTGAATGCTCATATCTGGTGGTCCATTGTCTGGTATTCTAAAGAACACAAAGAACACGTTTCAGAAAGTGGATCTGGATATAGATATCTACAGCTTTATAGCTATATTGGTGTAGTTATACTGACATAGGTTGTTCGGTGATTGAGGTCAGCTGTTTCTAAGGGACCGAAAACCATAGGTGTGTCCCACCCCCTTACCTGAGAATGGAAATAGGACCAGTGTCCGAAACGTTGAGATGTTTTGTGTTTGTTAGACAAAAATGGACAAAATAAAAACCCAAATTCGGTTTCTGAAAAATTGGGTTCCTTTGTGTTCTTCAGAATACTGGACTATGAACGAAGTCCAGAAACTTAGACAGAAAGAGATCCAGTTTCTGAAATGTAGTGTTCTGTGGACTGCCAGACAATTGACAAAGTCCAGATACCTAGTAATCCCAAGGGTCATACACTATCATCAGAACCCTTTAGAATCTGCTGGTTTCCAAAATTTATGTTCTTTAAAGGCATATGTAAACTTTTCGTTTTTTATTGTATTATTCATACATTAGAATTCTAGCTACTATGTATCTGTTGTGACAAAGACAAGGAAAGGAACCTTATACCAGGCAAGGAATGGACACTTCAGTTTTTTTTACACTAATAAGCGTAGGTACATTGCAATTTTGCAACTTTAAAAAGCCGGTTCTCTGTTATAGGATGTTTTGAGCAGTTATGCTGTATTCAAACATCCTCCAGTATATTCTGAATTTCTGAAATTATTACAGATTATAGTACCTCTTTTTCAGTGAGTTATTTAATCGAAATTTGTTTAGTACATATCCTGCCCTTCCACCCTTGCAATTAGTATTGATTTAACTACTGTAATATAATTAAGAGAAAAAAAAATCTACTGAGCATCTGCTTTTGTATTTTTCTACATTCCTCTTGATAATATTGTGCTGCATCAATATATCATTTCACATATATTTCTCTCTTAAATGCAACTTATTCTCTAGTCACCCTTCTTCCTCTTTATGCTTTATTTTCCTTCGGGCCAAAATGGTCTCCTCTTTTATTTATTTTCAGGATTTATAATGTGCACTTCAGTCAGAATGAGGGATAGTAATGCAGAAAATTTGACCTTAAACATGCGTAAACAGAAGACAAGAAAATGTATTATTTTGAAGTCGGTTCTAGCATGCACTTTCATGAAGAGAGCATGCATTTTCCCATTGACAGCCTCCACACAAGAGATTCGTCCTAATGCATCTTTGAGGTCACAAATACATTTGCCAGTAAGAACTCTCATAACGATTGTTATGCTAAATGGCATTGTGGCTGAAAGTACCAAAAGGAATTCATCTTGAGGTAGGCGTATAAATTCTGTTCCATCAACTCTCATAAAAGAATGTGTTTCTTCCTCACTTTCTTTGGTGATATCTGTTTCTTTTGTCAGTGTATTTATAATACATTGCTAACTCTGGTAATCTATTTTTTTGCATTCATTCTACATTTTGCTTACTTGCCTCTGATGGTCTTGCATGTGTTCCACTGTGTTCAGACTTGAAGTCTCTTTCCTGTAACTGTATTCTTGTGGTCATCCAGTCCCAGAAATTCAGCCTGTGCTCCTCCCAAATGTTGGCTGTCTCTCTCATACAAAATTCACACCTCACTTCCATGTCTGGATGTTGCCTTCAGTGTTATGTCTTTTATCTTAGGACATTAATTATTTAAATTTTTGGTGCGTTCATTTCAACAACCCACTCAGCAAAGCACATTGTAATTTGTATAGGATATTTTTTTATGCCTTCCGATGATATTTAGGGACATTTCAAAAGCCAGATTGTTGTTTCACCATGTCAGCCCATCTGAATAGAGCAGAGCCAGAAATACCTGACCAGTATTGTGGACTTGTAACAAAGTCAAGCCAGTCTGATTTGGGTTTAATTTGGATTACTTCAAGGACCCAAATGAGCTTTTACACGTTTTGAGTCTTGTGACAGGTTCTGATAATGTTCGATATTAATTTAAAATTTTAATTTGCTGTCAGTATCTCAGCCTGTATACTGTTAAATGGTAGGATGATTAGGGAATAAAGAATTGGAAAGTACTTGAAGTACTATCCCAGAATTTCCCTAGAAGGGCTGAGGAAACCACAAAAACAGCCAACAGGAGAGCTGACCTCTAAGCCGAGGATTGAACATGGAACATCATGAATAGAGAGCAGAGATAGTACTCACTTGACACAAACATTTTGTATGACAGCATGTATGAGTATAAACATGTACACTTTAAGAAACACTGTCTTCTGCGATGTGTAGCGCACTTCGGTTATTCTTAAGGGTCACTTTACATTAAAGTTTAATCAGATTTTAACGTTATTTTTCGAGTCATCTGACAAATTCTGATGAAGTCTTATGCACAGGGTTTATGTTACACAAGTATCACCATGCACATGAAGGTTAAACAGTTCAATTCCAAGACTGCGTAAATTTTAAGAAAACCACATTTAAAATTGAAAATGTCTTTTAGGATTCTTCAAAGTAATCTCCTTGATATGTCACATATTTTGTGCTCACTCATAAAATTGTTGAAGAAACTTTTTGAACTCATTGCATGTAATGCCAACAATTCCTTTGATTCTTCAAAGCTTCTCCCTTTCAGCAAGGATTTGATTTTGGTGAATAAAAAAAGGTCTGGTGGCAATAAATCAGAAGAATAAGGGGGGGGGGATTTAATTCTGGAATTCCTTGTTTTGCCAAAAACTGCTTTATTGATACTGCAGTGTGATGTCTTGCATTGCCATGCCAGAGAATCCACCTTCCTGTTCCCTGACACTGAGGTCTTACTCGATGAATTCTCTGAATAAAAGAAAACAATCATCATCATCACTGGCATCACAGCCCTTTGTGAGCTCTGGCCTTCCTCAGGATTGCTCACCATTCTTCTCTATTCAATGCTACATTCCTGGAGGAAAAGAAAACAGTACTTCCACATAATATTCCTTATTCACTCTCCAACCTGGTGGAACAAATTCTTTATGAATGATTTCCTGACTGCTGAAGAATGTGACAAACATTACTTTGTTTTGTCTTTTGAAATCATAATGTTTTGTGTTTGAGAGCTTGGTGAGTGCCATTCCATGCTTTATCTCTCTGTTTGTGGAGCATACTGGAAACACCAGGTCTGATCATCCATTACAATTGAATCAAGCAATGAATGATCATCATCCACAGATTGAATAAACTGTTGACAGGCTTGCAGTGTGAGAACCTCCTGCTCATCCGTAAAACAGTGCAGAACAAACTCAGCGTAGATCTCCTGTTTTCTGAGATTTTCCAATAAGATTTTTCAGATTGTTTCTATGCTACTTTCGAGTTTCCTTTCCATCATCCGAAGAATCATTCGACGATCAGTTGAAATCAATTCCCAAACTTTTTCAATCATGTCAGGTGTTCAAACAGCTGTTGGTGGTCCACTGCTTTCATCATCTTCGAGATTTTCACATCCATCCTGAAATTCTGCATACCATTCAAAAGCCCATGTACAAGCAAGAGCATTGTCACTCTAAACTCTTTTGCCCGTCTTGAAAATCAGAACTTTGTTTGCTCTTTACTCCATCACTACAAACTGTCACAACGATCTGCACAGTACAAAATCTTAAGCATGACTGAGCATGAATGACAAGAGAAAAGTGAGCGACCTTGTGCAGTGAACATGGTGGAAGAGTCACCTTACACGAGCAAGTTGAAAACACCACATATACACGGTGTCAAGTTGAAACATGTTCACACCTGCTTTCAAATACATATAATGGACTCAGCCCCGGAATTTAATTGTTGAACCTTGTATATCCAGAGGTATGGATTGGGCCCAGCTGAGTAGGCCTCTTGTCTGAGGATGAATGCAGAGTCCAGTCTCGGAAATGTTGTTTTAAATAAAAAAACAGGACGGTGGATAATGTCCAAAAAGGCAATAACTGTAGAAAGTTTATAGTATTATGGCATGTGCACTGAGAACAGGAATAATTTAATCAGAACAGATGTCTGTTACTTCATAAATAAAATTCCTATATTTATTTAAATAGATATGTAAGAAAATAAAAAGAAGTAAATGTACAAAATAATTGAAATGTTTATGTACGAAGGGCATTCCATATATAATGCCTCCTATTTTCTGTGTTAATATGTAACATCTGAGCTGGATGTTGGTGGTGTTGTAGTAAAGGTTGAACCTTCCCACCAATGTACTGTTAGTTTGGTTGTCCTGCAACAGATAGCGACAGCAGAGCAGTCTACCAAAATGGCGTCTGACATAGAAGTGCATACAAAACAGAGATGTGTTTTTGAATTTCTCACAGCAGAACAAATTTCACCCATTGACATCCATCGATGCTTGCTAAGGTGTACGGAGGTGATACAGTGGATGTCAGCACAGTGAGGTGGTGGGTAGTGCATTTCAACAGTGGTGAAAGTGAAGTGCACAACAAGCCATGCCCTGGGCGTTCCTGCTCAGCTGCCACTCCTCACAATGAACAGCACCTCGATCAGCTCATCCATACAGATTGGCGGATAATGACCAGGGAACTGTGTGTACAGCTTAATATTGGCTGTAATGCATTGGAAACAATGTTGGGGAAGCTGGATTATCGCAAAGTTTGTTCCAGGTGGGTCCCACGGATTCTTACACAGGACCACAAAACTCATCGAATGGAAGTCTGT